GGATTACAGGCGTGAGCCACCACGCCCGGCCAAGATATAACTCTTATACCAAGAGAATTATTACTAAACAAAGGAAGCAATTAATGTAGGTTTGTTTTGTTTTAAGAGAAAAGACTTCACTTTGTCGCCCAGGCTGGGGTGCACTAGGGTGATCCAAGGTCACTGCAGCCTCGAAATTCTGGGCTCAAGAGATTCTCCGGCCTCAGCCGCCCAAGTGGTTGGAACTACAGGCATGCACCATCGTGCCCAGCTATGATTATGGAGGTTCCTTAAAAAGCAAAATGTTGGCTTATTGGGAAAAAAAGAGTATTATAAATAACCTAATAAAATTTCATGGTGCTCAGTTGTATTTGATAACATACCCTGATACTCTGTTAGATACACACACACACACACACACACACACACACACACAAAAGATCAAAGTGAAAAATCTACAGAGGAATACCTCATTTATCCAGGCTATTTGGAATAAGAAGCTTAATAAGTAAAATTTCCAGATAAATGAGGTTTATTCCTTGAACATAAAACTCTTTTCTATCATAACATTTTATTTTATTTTATTATTTTTTTCGAGATGGGATCTTGCTCTGTTGCCCAGGCAAGTGCAGTGGCACTATTAGAGCTCACTGCAGCCTTGAACTCCTGGGCTCAAGTGATCCTTCCACCTCAGCCTCCCAAGTACCTGGAACTCTAAGAGTGCACCACGACGCTCAGCTAAGTTTTTAATTTTTTGTAAAGCCAGTGTCTCGCTATGTTTCTCAGGCTGGTCTTGAGCTCCTGGCCTCAAGTGATCCTGCCTTCTTGGCCTCTAAAAGTGCTGGGATTACGGTCATCAGCCACCGTGCCCAGCCTGTAACCATTTTAAACAGAAATCTTAAAAACATTTATTCACTTGCCCACTTCAGTAATCAGTGTTTACTGAGGTGGTGTGGTTTCCACAATCCTTAACACGCCTATGCTGTCTCTAACCTCTCTTGGGAAATCTGGAAGCTGACAGCTGTTTGCCCAGACTGCCCTCATTTTTTTGGTTCTCATGTACATGTTTTGTGTCTTCAGTCTCCTCCCCCATTAATGGACTATCACCTGTCACTTTCTGCTACTGCTGGTGGCCAAGTTCTAGAAGCTTCTTCTATCTAATAACTCTATTTTTAATGCTTTTAGACCAAGAAACCAGATAACTAAGTTTGTTAGAATTGTACTTAAAATAAGTTTAAACAGATTACTAAGTGAAGGGCTCACCTATGAATAACATGCACAAAGCCTATAACATAGAAGAAATACCACACATTCTCAGATACAAAAGCAATCTCCTGTTTTCCCAAAAAGATCTAAAAGTTTATTGACCAACATGTATATGTGAACTTTTATGGATATAGAAAAACTTGCCTGCTTATACTATTTATTTTATTAGTAATTTACTATCACACACACTTTAAATCATTTAATAAAATACATTAATTTTGATACAATGCTTTTTTTCCATTCTCCCACTTAATAAAAATAATTTTATTTGAACTCTTCATATGTATTTTCAACATCAGTGTCTTCTTCATCACAAAAATAGCTTATTGAGTTTTCCATAGCCCTTCATATTCAGTTTGCCCTAACCTGTAATGATTCAGGAGTTTTAAAATCATCTATGATGCTGTCACTAAAATTTGATTCTAAGTCATAAGTAGTCACTCCCATGACAGTAGGGCAGTTGATGTTTTTTATTTGTCCTCTAGGTATAATGTGATCTATAAAATTTAGTATTTGCTGTGCTGCTTTCTTAGTGATATCTACAAGGTCCCTTTGTCCTGACAGCTAACACAATCATGAGAGCAGACGCTCAGGAACATTTGCTCAGTGTGGGCTGGCTGCCTGCCTCCTCTTCTGGTCCCCTCAGGAGACCTCTACAAGCACCCTGCCCAGGGCTGTCTCAGGTGGAATGTGTTTCCTAAACAGAGCTTGATTGTTCAAAAAAAGAGATGAATGAGCACCCTGGAATACAGGAGGCTTTGTAAAGATCCAAATAGAAGGCGATTCCCTCTAGTGTGAAGGATTATTTGGAGGGAAGCTCTGCCTTATTTTGAGGCACAGAACAGAGTGTCAAGCAACAGCAGGGCCTGGGAAGAAGAGTGACCCTCAGAGTCAGATGGGCCTGAGCGCACATGACCATGGTGAGGGAGGCCCAGGCTGGGGGTGCTCTGCCATGCAGCTGCCCCTGCTGCCTTCAGCACCGTCCTTGCCCAAATCGAACGGTCACCCAGTGGGCCTTCTGGCTTTACTTCTTGTTTGCAGCCATGTGCCGAGTGGATGACATGCCAGAACAGTGCTCCCCGAGAGTGAAGTAGTCCTGCACAAGGTATTTCTACATAACTACTGCACTGTAGGGACTAAGGATTCTGAGAACTACGACGAGCACATATGAACTATAAGCCTTAAAGAGGATCTCAGATTAGCTTTCAAATTGTTCTACATACCTCGTATTAGCTCATAAATATTCATGTCCATAAGTTCACATATTAGTGCAAGAGAACCAGATTTTCTGTCGCTGAAGAAGAAAGCAGGTTTTTAAAATGATTTTTCTTGTCTTAATCAGAAAATATAATCAAATATTTAATTCATTTGTAAACATTTCTGATAAACATAAGGCACTTCTACATCAGACAAAGACTGCAGTATAATTACTGAAACAGTAGAGGCTTTGCTTTTAAATCAATATTTCAGGTAAAATTAATTTAAAATACTAGTAAAACCCTACTTTGAGCAAAATTCTAAATGTCCTTTTTAAAAAAAAGAGATATGTCTTGAAAATACAAAATTAACTATCAGCAAAAAGAAGAAAAAAGTTTGGGGAGTTGGCTAAGCAAAACAATAAAAGAAAAAAGAAGTTAATTCATGTTCTATGACTGCAAATTTGGCTTTAATTTACCTGAATTACTTCCATGTAATTGGGATAACTTACAATGGGAGAGCAAAACCCAAAACTAGTCAGGAGAAAAAAGGAGAGAAAGAGGCGTCACACCACACCCGTGTGATGTCTAAGCCTGACACTGAGTGGGAACAGAGGATTCCGGCTGAGCCACCAGCTTCTCCTGAGTCCAAGCAGGCCCTTGAAGAGTGTTCTGAGCCCTGAGCAGGGAGCCTGCTCTGGGTTCCTCCAGTCTGGCTGGAAGGGGTCCTACTACCTCTTGGCTGTTATGAGGCCCAGTGAGATTCTGGACAGAAGTGCTTTGTAAAGTACATGTGAAGCACATGACATACACACAGTGTTGTGACTACTACATACAAACTGCAATCTCTGGACCTGGCCCAAACTGACTTCTAAGAACACTCTAGGCCAGGAAGCCACACAGCTGTGAAAAGACATTTCATTTTGAGCTTAAAACTGTTCCATCCTCTGATTAAAATCTACTGGACTTTAACTGGCAGAGACGAGTTGCTTGGCTGACCTTATAGGTCAGGCTCCCCCCAGAGCTGCAGTGAGACTTCTACACTGAGATACACCTTCTCAGAGTGGCAGTGCCCCTCCAGGTCCCGAAACCCTGCAGCCTGACTCCCTGCTTCACTGAGGCCCAGAAGCACAGCACAGAGCTGCCAGGGAGAAGGCTTCCCAGGCCTGGGCAGGCACCTAGGGACAAGCTGTGCTCTGCCTTCTTGACTGGTAGGTAAACCTTATGGAAACTATTCTATAATTAGAAGAGAAATTTTTAAATACCCAGAAATGATATCAATTATACTAAGAAAGGCTGCAGGAGACTGTGTAGAAATGGTAACTGGCAGGGACAAAGTGAGGACACACACTCCCTGAAATAACACAACGGTGCTTTCCCAGTAAGTGACCATTCGCACTCAAGGGTTCAGAAGCTTAACTGAGTGAGCTACACGAGACGAACTCAGCACGGTTTGTATGCTTTTATGATAGGGAGCCACCTAAACAGAGGCATTTCCACATTAGGAATCCGATACACATTTGTCAAAACAAAAATGTGATTTAAGATGAAGTCAAAATTGTTACTCTCCGAGCTACAAAGCAAATATTTTTAAAATGCCTACCATGGTTTTCTTTCCTAAAAAGAGATTTAGCATTTTCAGCAAATTTAGATAACTTTTCAAGCTCCAGGTATACTTACAAAACCACTTCATGCAGCGTAAGAATGTTTGGGTGTGGGTGCAGGCGCCTCAGTGCTTGTACCTCTCGTAGGTTGTTCACTTGCTCAACACTATCGTGCAAGCACAAATAAAGAACTACGTCACAATTTAGGTCAACTCTAAAACTAGGGCTATTAAGTCACTATTTATTATCTATGATCACAATTCACAAACTCACAAATATTTCAAGCAAGTTAATCAGGTTTTATTTCTCCCATCAGAAACTAAAGGTAAGCATATCTCATTTCTGCATTATCTTATAAAAATCGAGGTTCTTCTTTTAGGTTTTTTATTATTTTTTGCGAAAATCAAAGTTCTTATAGCTTAGAACATACATTAAAGTTTTTCTCATCAAAGATCCTGAAAGAATCCTTGATAGTTTCCTTCACATTTATTAATAAGTATGGACATAGATATTAAAATTTCTGATTAAATTTATTAGTACGATTTATTATTGAGATTAATAATTAAAATGTATTAATTAGTTTATGGGAACGACCCACCTGAGCAATGTGTATATCTCTGAAAATAAGCGTTTCAAAGTTCAAGGAATAGACCCCTGACTCCTCATCTTTAGTGATGGCTAGACAATTTTTCTCCATTTCATTCACCTGGTGACAGGTGTGCTATCGGCAGGTGTGTCTTATTGCAGGCTCTTGTTTATGAGGAGTGTTCTGCCTGACACAAGTCATGCTAACACAACCGCAGTCAGGCCCAAGGCCTGAGGCTGGCTGCCACTGCCCTCCAGACAGACCCCTTTCAAGAGACACACCTCAGTATGGTGGGCCTGTGAGGTCATAGCCAACTGAACGACTTGATCCACCAGGGACTTCCATCTCAGAGGCTCCGAAAGGAACTAATCGTAGAAGTATTCTTTCTTTCAACTGGCAAAATTCTGTTCTACCAACTTTTAACATATAGTAGAAAGCTCAGCATTTGGTTATTCAGAGAGTGGTTATACCCAATTATATTATGTAGTTTTAAATTGATATAGCTAAATATCTTAGGTCACTCTCATGCGAGCCAACAAATGGGAGCCTGATATGATGGCCTGAATACTCTAAGATCATTTCCAACTAAAAGTTTTAGCTCCTCTTTTGTTACTACCCCCTATTTCCTCCCTCACACCCAGGATGGTATTCAAAATGTTAGCAACCTACACCCCAGGGCAACAACCAATCAGAAAAGATACAGCCCACAATGCTGAAGCCAGGTCCTAAAGGCAGCACGAACCCTAGGGGAGGTCTGGGGAGTGCTGGGCAAGGGGCCAGGCGGCACTCAGCAGGCTCAGGACATCAGCCATTCACCAACTAAAATATGAGTTGTTCAATATTCTAATAACCATCATGGCCATATTGGCATGTACCAGGACCAGATCAAAACCTTGTCCGTTCATTACATCATCTCATGCCTCCCAAGCTCAGTACCCCCCACCCCTACTCCTCACCAGCACCCACAGAGCCAGTGCCTGCCTTAGTGCCTCTACACAGTGCTTCCCAAAACGTGTCCAACAGAACATTATTTCTCTGGGAAATGCTTTGTGAGGAAATTGCACGTTCAAAAAGCTTGAGAAATGGGACTATTCTAGTCCTTCTCGGAAAGCCATAATTTCTAATTGATATTAAAAGCTCTCAAAAACCCTGCAAAATAAAGAGACAGTGTATCTTTATTTAAACAAACATTTCCAAAACTCTTTGGCCCTGGATCCTTTCTTTACATACTACCTAGTTACCATCTGTAGAACTAGGGTTCCAGAGAACATACCACTGCAGACCATCCTCTGAGTGACAAATGGAAATAGCTTTTTTCTCCCTGGAGCAGGGGAGGTGAATAAAGACACCGATGAGGCAAAAGGAAAACAAAAAATCATGTCAAACATTTCTTTGGGGGCACTTACGCAATTACAGAGCATCTCTTGAGCTCCGTCCCTGGGATCTGCATGGGGAAGAGGCGACTAAGGCTTTTATTCATGGTCCCACACCCGGAGGGGTCCTTGATTCAGGACAAGGATGCTGAAGAAGTCCCACCACTCCACCTAGTAACTGTCATGCCTCTGCCCGTGGCATGCTGTAGGTCAGTATGCCTGGCTCCAATAATTAATATTTTATAGGCTATGCAGAAATATTGTTTCTCTTTAAGGTTTCACTCACTTATTTTAGCATTCATGAGGGGATCCTGAATGCAGAAATTACTACTGTATTCTAATGATGACTGTCTATTCCCTTCATCCCTCCTACATTTATTATTTGACATTCTTCTATCAGGAAGAATTGTCCCTTCGTCCCAACTTATATATTCACTTAGTCATTCATTTATATCAATATGTCTTCACAGTTATTGAATACAAAGATAGAAAGATAAGTAAGATAGATGAGATAGATGAGAGGGGTTGGTATATATACACACTAGCTCAGGATGCCTAGTAGCAGTGAGCAACCCAGTGCCAAGATCTTGTTCTCTAAATACCTTTCTCCAATAAAAGGAACCAGGGCTCCTTACAGAAATGGCAGAATCTAGGCCTGGGGCAGGGAAAATACAAGATGAGCCTAGAAAATCTTATAGTGCCAAAAAGTTTTAAAAAAGAAAAGAAAAAGGGCCGGGTGCGATGGCTCATGTAATCCTAGCACTCTGGGAGGCCGAGGCGGGCGGATCGTTCTGAGCTCAGGAGTTCAAGACTAGCCTGAGCAAGAGCGAGACCCCGTCTCTACTAAAAATAGAAAGAAATTGGCCAAACAACTAAAAACAGAAAAAAAAAAAAAATTAGCCAGGTATGGTGGCGCGTGCCTGTAGTCCCAGCTACCTGGGAGGCTAAGGCAGGAGGCTCGCTTGAGGCCAGGAGTTTGAGGTTGCTGTGAGCTAGGCTGGCACCACAGCACTCGCCCCAGGCAAGAGAGTGAGACTCTGTCTCAAAAAAAAAAAAAAAAAAAAAAAAAAAAAAAGGATAGGGCTTATCAAAAGAATATGAAAGCCAACCTGAAAAGGGTCCCCATGGCCAAAGCTGGAGCAATTTGAGCAAAAAATAGTTATAGTATTGGATTATAATCTCCTGTGGTTTTTAACGTATATGTTGGAAGCAAATGAGAACTCACAAGGTAAAACTCAAAGTCCCATTCTCCTTGAGTTTGGACTACGTAAGTTAGCAGGTCGTGCTTTCCTAGGGCACATAAGAGATGCCTGTCAAGATTGGGCACTAGACTCCATCCCTGGTTCCACACATCAAACCACCACAAACTACCACTAACCTAGAGCAAGTATACCTCCTTTTGAGTAAAGCCTATACATGAAACTGTGATTGACACAACAAAGAAAACTCTGTAACTAATCCCCTCCACATATACAAACTTTTTAAAAAAATAAAGTAATACCAATTCAGTGGTATTTTATTAAAGACTTTTCCTTATTATAGATTTTTAAAAGAAAAATATGTGTTCTAATTAAATGATTTTAAAGTTCAAGGCAAAGAACATTGTTTCTAAAATACAAGTGATTACACATACAGTAACGGAGGCTACCATCATGCTAGCTTTCTGTTTACTCCCTCGTTTAGTCTTCAGGCACCTCATGACAAGGAAGGCTCAGGCAGAAAAGGCACTTTTGGTGTGTTGGGGATCGGGCAGGTGGCAGATCCAGGATGTGCTTCACCACCAGGAAATCCCATCCCTTAGTCCAAGGAACTAAGGAGGTATGAGAATGAACTTCTCTAGATAAATCCAGTGTTCTCCATCCTCCAAAGAACTGCTCCTTAGAAGATCCTAATTTTCTTTGATAGAGATCTCTCCAAAATGTTACAGATATCTCTACCTTCCTGAAGACGCATCTGTGACCAAGTGACTCATCTGTGATGCAGCCTCTCCTTGACAGTCGATTCAACGGAGTGAATGTGACCATGCATTATTCTGGCAAAGCAACAATCTCCAAAGTGCCTGAAGTCTGTAGGCTATTTGTCCGGTCTACTTTTTATACTTAGTTCTTCACCAAAATAATAGCTGGCATGTCCTGTTGATGTACGTACTTCCATCCGCCTCTGAACCTGACAGTGATCATCTCACAGGATTCTGATCGTCTCTCAAGGTGCGAATGCACTGCATCCTTCTGCTCAAAGTCCTACACTGGCAACTTTGGGTTTACAGTGGATTTCTCAAAGGTAGCTATTCAGGGAAGTCTGCTCTTTAGATACAGAATAATCAGTACATGGCGCATCAAATTCTCTCTCATGAGTAGTTTAAAGATAAAGACGGCATGGGGGGAGGAAGACAGAGACAGAGAATGTAGAATACATAGAGGAAGCAGTTCCAGACGAAGAAACGCAGAAGACCCAGTCGCTTCAGAGTCTTGGTAGTGGACACTGTCACATGCTTTGGGCAGTGAAAAATGAGGATTTTGCTTTAGTAGAATCTGGATTCAAATTTGGCTCAGCCCACCTAGTGATCTCCAGCAACAATTGTCAAATTACTTCACATCTCTGAGCACCTCTCCTCATTGAAAAACAGCGATGATAACTACTCTGTCTGGATGTCATGAGGATGAAATTACTGTTCTCAATACCCTTTGACATGATTAATTGTCTTATACTTCTTTTCTTTGATCTGAGAAACAATTTTGTATACTAAAAGTCTGAAATCAAGGTTTATACCCCAAAACACTTCCTAAGGCTCTGCATCAATATGGGAAAATTATAATACTATGTTGTTTTAAAAAATTACTTTGGCTATATAGAGGCTTCGATTCCTTTGATATTAAAAAAAGAAAACAAAAGAAAAGAGAAAGCTGGGCTTTAATCCTCTTCGTTTTAGTTTAACAGTTACAATGAAGACAGTATTGACTTCATTACTCTGACAGAGTTTCCCAATCACATCTGGGTTTTGACTCAGTAGTGGGATACATGCTAAGAAGCTGACAAACTCCAAGACGTTAAGAGGCTGCTCTGAGGAAAAAGCCACAGCAGTCCACCAAGGGAGTGACCAAGAACTACAGTTCCGGGCTCCATAAACAGCACTCCTGATCACGCCCAGGGAATACATTTTTCCATCTTCCCCTGGCAATGATTTTTCAACATATCAATATACTAATTAACCCACAATTAATTAAATTGTAAGGACCTCTAATACATTCTAAGGTTTCATTTATAGAAGCTCAACACATGCACACACTCACACTTGTTAGGAATACAAAGACTGTTTAAAGTGAGGCATACTTTATAACTTAATTTTTTGTGGCCATCTATCATTGATATCACAGTAAACCTGGATGTGAGTAAACTCCAGTATGATAAACATTAGTGCATAATCCTTACTACCCAAAGAATTTTGATTATATTTCACATATTATTAAATGAATAAAATTTTCCCATTAATATTAAGTTGCCCTTATTGACTTAAACCTATATCTATATTAAGTCTTAAATTTACATCTCTGATTGCCTACCTTTCAAAGCGCTGTTTCATTTGTTTACATGCATAGTAGTTTCCATCTCTCAGGCTCTGCATCTTTATAACTTCAGAAAACGTTCCCTCTCCTATTTTGCCAATTGCTTTATAGTCTATAAATTAAAAAAGTATAAAAACAAAAATCTTATTTATGCATATATTTTGTATTCACTTCTAGACAGCAAACATTTTATTTGTAAGATAGTTTAACAGCCGCATTTTGAGAATTGTTTCTCCTATTTTTGTAAGGTTTAGTGTTCCCCTCACTTTAGGAGAAGGTGGGTTGCATGTTGACAACAAAGCACCGTTTCCTCCTGGTCTATGCTCTCCTTGGTACAGTGGGAACCACATTACCCAAATCCTGGCCAGCAATGAGAGGCTCAGCTACTCCACAAGATTCAGAAAGCAGAAGAGCAGTGGAGACCAGGATTATTCTAGCAGGAGAGGGCAGGAGCGTGAGCTTTGCACTGCATAGATGTCACATTATACCACCAGCTTCTGAGCATTCTCCTGAAATTCACCCTCCCTGGTCCTACGGAGACCCAGCTGATCTGCAGCAGTTCCTGTAATTCTTGTATTTCTTAACTTTCTGAAAGCTAACAGCAGCTTCCCCTGGCTATGCTGCCACCACCATCACCCCCAGCCCTGATATTCATTTTGTAAGCCTCTAATTCACTATGTTAAATGACTTCCTGCTTGAAATACCTAGTGTAGTTTCTGTTTTCCTGACCAAAACCTAACTGACACCAAATGAATACACTGAAGTGTGAACAAAAACCTATAATATGTGGCTTTGGCTTAGTCATTAGGTGGCAGAGAACCAGCTGGAATGCCGGACAGCCTGGTACATCAGGACAAAATATCGCCCCTGATGAATGTCTGCCTGCAGCAACTGTAGCCTCTCATGGACCAAGTGTCCACTGAGCCTGCTGTCCTAGGGAAAGTGGTGGGAAGAGTCAGAGTGGTGGACTGTGTTGAATATTAATGACTGCCTTAGCAAAGATACTTCAAGACAGAGAAAAGCACAGGCAAGAATTGCTACTTTTCAAACAGAAATGGAAGAAGTAGTACAGTCCAGAGAGCAAAAGTCTCAATGGGTTGGAAGTTTCTACAACCCAAATAATAGGAGATTAAGACTACAAAAAACCTTGGCAGAGAGCAGTCTGTAAGACTTCTCAGTTGAACAAATGGTCAGCCTTGCAGCAAAGATCACGGGAAGTTACTACCCCTACTCCCTCAGGCATTTCTTTCAGAGAGCTTCAAGGAAGCACCTATAAATTGAGAACCAAAAGCATAAGAGCAAGACCACAAAGAAACAAAGCAGGCTTGAGAGCTATGTCTAAAAGAGAACCTTGATTGTGGAACTGCCCAAAAGCAAACAAATCAGAAATCTTCAAACATCACTTATACTGCCGCAGAAACAAGCCTGGACTAAAAAAACCCCTTCACCTTCAGGCCCCAAACTTGCATCAGCACAAAGCAGGCTTTTGCTTTTTAATATAAGAGATGGGGGGGGGTCTCACTATGTTGCCTAAGCTGGCCTTGAACTCCTGGGCTCAAGTGATCCTCCCACGTCAGCCTCCAGAGTAGCTGGGACTACAGGTGTGTGCCACCATGCTCAGCTCACAGGCTTTAAAAACTGTGCAGTGCTGAAGGAGGGCACTCTCTTCAGTACTCCTTTCCATATGCGCATTTTGAATACCCTATCCGAATTCTGATTTGAACAAACCATCAGCAAAAAGGTACTAATTTTTTAGAAGTGATAATGGTTATGTCAAAAAATGAAAAACATTCTTATCTGTTAGCAAGAAATACTGAAGTATTTCCAGGTGAAATGATATGATGTTTGGGATTTATTTTAAAATACCCCTGAATGTTCCCATTCACTATTGCTGAAAGTATCAACTGGTATGGTCTTTTTAGAGGGCAATTTGACAATACCTATTAAATCTTTGAGATGTGCATACTCTTTTTTTTACCCAGCAATTCCAATTCTAGAACTTATCACATAAAATAAACTTGCTCAAGTATGTATGATAGGAGGATGTTAGTGTACCATTATTTAATAGGGTAAAACTGATAACCCAAATACCCCCCAGAAGGGAACTGGGTTAATTAAATGTGGTTTATCCATATAATAGGATATACTGTAAATATTTTTTAAAAGACACAAATCCTTAAAAAATAATGTCTATAAAAACCATACAAACACACACACACATGCACACAGGCACACAATTAACACTGGCTCTCTCTGAGGGGTAAGGTTACAGGTGTTCCATTTTCTAAGTTAGATATTTTCCATAATTTTTTTTTTGAGACAGGGTCTCACTCTGTCAACCAGGCTGGAGTGCAGCGGTGTGATCATATCTCACTGCAGCCTCAAACTCCTGGGCTCAAGAGATCCTCCTACTCTCCCAAAGTGCTTGGATTAGAGGTGTGAGCCACCACACCCAAGCCCATAATGTTATTTTTTTATGAAAGCATTATTTGATTTAAAAACAACAATAAAAACTAAAGAAAATACTCCAGAAAAAAATAGTGGTGGGGAAAATAGCAAAATGTTGATAATTGTTGAAACTAGGTGATGGATTCACATGAGGGTTCACTATACTGTTTTCTATACTTCTGTCATGCCTGAAATTTTCCATACTAAAAACAAAAAAGGAAAAACAAAACCTCCTATACATGATCCTCTATGTTCATACCCTCTTTCAACTAGCCAGAAGACTCCTAGGAGACCTGAGAGCCAGGAGATAAAGATGGTGGAAAAGCAACCCAGAAAAGACTTCCAACCAGGAATGCCCACATAGCACTTTACATGAACAAAAAAAACACTTTTCTTGTATAAAGCCCCTGATAGGCTGGGCATGGTGGCTCACACCTGTAATCCCAGCACTTTGGGAGGCCGAGGTGAGGGTATTAATTGAAGCCAGGACTTCGAGGCCACCTTGGGCAACATAGTGAGATGCTCATCTCTACAAAAAAATAAGAAAAATTAGCCAGGCATGGTAGTGCACACCTGTAGGGCTAGCTATTCAAGAGGCTAAGGCAGCAGGATTGCTTTTCAAGGCTACAGTGAGTATGCAATGTGTCACTGTACTCCAGCCTAGGTGACAGAGTGAAACCCTGTCTCTTTAAAAAAAAAAAAAAAAGCCTTGATATTTGGGGAGTTTATCCATTATAACATCTACTGAGCATTACCTTAACTATTTAATAATATCCTTAAATATATAAAATCATAATTTATAAAACAAAAATAGATTGACAGACTTTTGAGAAGAGTAATTCATACTTGCAAGATTTCACATTAAAAAATTGGCTATTCAAGAAACATTCAGTGGGCCGGGCGCGGTGGCTCACACCTGTAATCCTAGCACTCTGGGAGGCCGAGACGGGTGGATCGTTTGAGCTCAGGAGTTCGAGACCAGTCTGAGCAAGAGCGAGACCCCGTCTCTACTAATAAAATATAAATAAATTAGCTGGACAACTAAAAATATATATAGAAAAAATTAGCCGGGCATGGTGGTGCGTGCCTGTAGTCCCAGCTACTTGGGAGGCTGAGGCAGTAGGATTGCTTGAGCCCAGGAGTTTGAGGTTGCTATGAGCTAGGCTGACGCCATGGCACTCACTCTAGCCCGGGCAACAGAGTGAGACTCTGTCTCAAAAAAAATAAAAAAATAAACAGTCAGTGACCTTGTCTACAAAAATTCAATCTACACAGAATTTCTCTGAACATGTTTATATTTCATCCTATTTTCAGGTTATTAAATTAGCCTGTTACTGTTTCATGGATGCACTAGCAACTGTGGCAAGGGGAGGGGAATAAATGGACAAGGCTTTGCACAGACCTAAGGCCCCTGTGTAAACAAAGCAGCAAGCCAGTAAGTTTTACACATCAGGCCTTTACTTGAGCTTTTGTTTGGGTTTCAACCAAAAGAGGATCTTACCTAAACAGAAATGCAACTTGCCCCTCCTGCACAGGAGCATCGGGTGTTTTTCTGAGGCCAGGGCCCAGCCTGAGCCTGGCCAGCAGGGACGGATGGTGTTCCTTAGGAATTTCCCCTTGACTGGGCAGAAGGTCTGTTAGCTACTGGCTGTTGTGGTTTACAATCCAAATCCCTGCTGGATCCCAACTCATTTTTTTATTATAGCAGAATTTTAAACTATTTAGCTTGCCTCCACTTTATTTTGCTATGTTTTATTTTAACATATTTTACTTCTTTTCACTTTCATTCTAGTACTAGGCATGTCAATCATGTGCCGGAGCAGCCATGTTCTGTTCCCGCCCTTTTGTAGTCACAACTGACTGGGCAAGAAGAGCAAGCAGCAACCAATATGGTGGTCAAGCTGAGGAGGCTCCACCCAAAAGGGCAGAAAAGTGGATCACAAGTTCTTACAGGCATATGAATTCATAAGTTTGCAGAGAGTCAAGCTGTGAACAATGGGAACAAAAGCTAAAAGTTATGAGACAGGAAGAGACTCAAGGGGCCATAAATGGGCAAGACTTATAACTCAACAATACAAAGACAAATAACCCAATTAAAAGGTGGACAAAAGATTTGATAGCCATTTCTCCAAAGAAGACATAAAAATGGCCAATAGCCATGAAAAAATGCTCAAGATCATTAGTCATTAGGGAAATGCAAATCAAAACAATGATGAGATCCCACTACACACTCCCTAGTAATGACTAGAATAAAAGAGAGATAATAACAAGTGTTGATGAGGATGTAGAGAAATTGAATCCTCATACATTGCTGGATGGAATGTAAAATGGTGTAGCCAGTGTGGAGAACAGTTTGGCAGTTCTTCAAGATGTTAAACAGAGTTACCATGTCACCCAGCAATTCTACTCCTACATATATACCCAAGAGAAATGAAAACATATGTCCAACAAAAACCTGTACATGAATGTTCACAGTGGCATTATTCATAATACCCAAAAGGTGGAGACAACACAAATGTCCATCAATGGATGAATGGAGAAACAAAATGTGGTCTATCGGCCGGGTGCAGTGGCTCACGCCTGTAATCCTAGCATCTGGGAGGCCGAGGCAGGCGGATCGTTCTGAGCTCAGGAGTTCGAGACCAGCCTGAGCAAGAGCGAGACCCTGTCTCTACCAAAAATAGAAATAAATTAATTGGACAGCTAAAATATATACAGAAAAAATTAGCCGGGCATGGTGGCGCATGCCTGTAGTCCCAGCTACTCGGGAGGCTGAGATAGTAGGATCGCTTGAGCCCAGGAGTTTGAGGTTGCTGTGAGCTAGGCTGAGGCCACGGCACTTGCCCCAGGCAAGAGAGTGAGACTCTGTCTCAAAAAAAAAAAAAAATGTGGTCTATCAATACAATGGAATATTATTCAGCCATGAAAAGGAATGAAGTACTGACACATGCTACAACACGGATGAAGCTTGTAAACATTATGCTAAGTGAAATAAGTCAGGCACAAAATGCCATATATTGTAAGATTCCACTTCTATGGAATGTCCAAAACAGGCAAATTCATACAGACAGAAAATAGATTAGTGCTTGCCTAGGATTGACCCCACGTGGTGGAGTGTGGGATAAATGGGGAATAACTGCTAACGGGTAACAGATTTCTTTCTGGGATGATGAAAATGTTTAAACATTAGATTATGGTGATAGTTATACGACTTAGTAAATAGCCTTAAAAACCACTGAACCATATACACTGAAAACCAAAAACACTGAAATGGATGAACTTCACAACCTTCTAAGCTTGAATCAGGAAGAAACAGAAATCCCGAACAGACTAATAACAAGTAGTGAGATTAAATCAGTAATAAAAAAAACTCACCTCCCAAAAAAGCCCAGGACTAGATCGATTCACAGCTGAATTCTACCAGACCTACAAAGAATTGGTACCTATGCTACTGAAACTGTTCCATAACATTGAAGAGAAGGGAATCCTCCCTAATTCATTTTAAGAAGTCAGTATCACTCTGATACCAAAGCCAGAAAAGGACACACCAAAAAAAAAAGAACATCACAGACCAATATCCTTCATGAACATAGATGTAAAAATCCTCAACAAAATACTAGCAAACTGATCCCAAGAACACATCAAAAAAAATAATTCGCCACAATCAAGTGGGTTTCATCCCAGGGATGCAAGGATGGTTAAACATACGTAAATCAGTAAATGTGATTCACTACATAAACAGAACTAAAAACAAAATAGATGCAGAAAAAGCATTCAATAAAATCCAGCACCTCTTCATGATAAAAACTCTTAACAAACTAGGCACAGAAGGAACATACCTCAAAAAAATAAAAGCCATATATGACAAAGCCACAGCCAACATCATGCTGAATGGGGTAAAATTAAAAGCATTCCCCCTAAGAACTGGGAAAAGACAAAGATGTTCACTTTCACCAATTCTATTCAACATAGTACTGGAAGTCCTAGCCAGAGGACTCAGGCAAGAGAAAGAAATAAAGGGTGTCCAAATCAGGAAATAGGAGGTCAAACTATCCCTGTTTGCCAATCATATGATCTTAGATCTAGAATACCCTAAAGACTCCTCCAAAAGACTCCTAGAGTTGATAACTAAATTTGTTAAAGTCTCAGGTAACAAAATTAATGTACATAAATCAGCAGCATTTCTATACATTAATAACAGCCAAGCTGGGAATCAAATCAAGAAAGAACTCAATACCATTTACAATAGCTGCAACACAACAAAACAAAAGAAAAAAAGAAAAAGGAAAAAAAAAACCCCTAGGAATATATTACACTTAACCAAGGAGGTAAAAGATCTCTACAAGGAGAGCTACAAAATACTGATGAAAGAAATCACTGATGGATGACACAAACAAATGGAAAAACATCCCATGCTCATGGATTGGAAGAACCAATATTGTTAAAATGTCCATATTGCCCAAAGCGCTTACAGATTCAATGCAATTCCCATCAAAATGCCAATGTCATTTTTCACAGAATTAGAAAAAACAATCTTAAATTTCATATGGAATCGAAAAAGAGCCTGAATAGCCAAAGCAGTCCTAAGCAAAAAGAACAAATCTGGAGGCATCACAGTACCTAACTTCAAATTATACTACAAGGATATACAAACGAAAACAGCATGGTACTGGTATAAAAGGAGACACATAGATCAATGGAACAGAATAGAGAACTGAGAAATAAAATCATATACCAGCTAGGCACGATGGCTCACATCTGTAATCCCAGCACTTTGGGAGGCTAAGGCAGGAGGACTGCTTCAGGCCAAGAATGTGAGACTAGCGTGGGCAACATAGAGAGACCCCATCTCTACAAAAAAAAAATACAAAAATTAGCAGGGCATGGTGGCACACCTGTAGTCCCAGCTACTTGGGAGGCTGAGGTGGGAGGATTGCTTGAGCCCAGGAGTTTGAGGTTGCAGTTAGCTATGATGATGCCACTACACTCTAGCCTGGGCAACAGAGCAACATCCTGTCTCAAACAAACAAACAAAAACCCTTACACACCTACAATCAACTGATCTTCAACAAAGCAGACAAACATGTACACTGGGGAAAAGATGCCCTATTCAATAAACGGTGCTGGGAAAATTGGACAGCCACATGCAGAAGAATTAAACTAGATCCCTATCTCTCATCATACACAAAAATTAACTCAAGATGGATTAAAGACTTACATGTAACACTTGACACCATAAAAATTCTAGAAGAAAACTTAGAAAAAACTCTTCTGGACATCGGTCTAGGCAAAGAATTTATGACTAAGACCCCAAAAGCATATACAACAACAACAAAAATAAAGAAATGGGACTTAATTAAACTAAAAAGTCTCTGTAGAGCCAAAGAAATAATCAACATAGTAAATAGGCAACCTACAGAATGGGAGAAAATATTCACAAACTATACATCTAACAAAAGACTAATATCCAGAATCTACAAGGAACTCAAACAAATCAGCAAGAAAAAAACAAATAACCCCATTAAAAAGTGGGCAAAAGACATGAACAGACATTTTTCAAAATAAGATATACAAATGGCCAACAAGCATATGAAAAAATGCTCAGCATTACTAATTATCAGGGAAATGCAAATTAAAATCACAATGAGTTACCTGACCCCAGTCAGAATGGCTATTATTAAAAACTCAAAAAACAATAGATGTTGGTGTGGATGCAGTAAAAAGGGAATGTTTATACACTGTTGGTAGAAATATAAATTAATACAACCTCTAGGGAAAACAGTATGGAGATTTCTCAAAGAATTAAAAGCAGACCTGTCATTTAATCCAGCAATCCCACTACTAGGTATCTACCCAAAGGAAAAGAAGTTAGTTCAAAAAGTTACATGCCCTCTTATGTTTAACTCAGCACAATTCACATTTGCAAAGACACGTTATCAACCTAAGTGCACATCAACTGATGAGTGGATAAAGAAAATACGGTATATATATACCATGGAATACTACTCATCTATAAAAAAGAATGAAATAATGTCTTTTGTAACAACTTGGATGGAACCGTAAACGATTATCCTAAATGAAGTATCTCAGAAATGGAAAAACAAATACTGCATGTACTCACTTATAAGTGGGAGCTAAACAGTGGGTATACATGACCATACAGAGTGAATAATGGACTCTGGAGATTCATAAGGAGGGAGGGTGAAGGGGAGCAAGGGATGGAAAATTACTATGGTATACAATATACACTATTCAGGTGATAAGTATACTCAAAGCCCTGACTTCACCATTACACACTTCAACCATGTATCAAAAAACCACTTGTATTCCCTAAATCTATTCAAATAAACATTTAAAAACCAAACAAAATAAATACATAATTGGTTAACTTTATATTACAGTATGTATATTACATCTCAATAAAGCTGTTAAAACAGACAAATCAGAATAGGGTTACCCTTGGGGAGTGAGGTGACTGGAACGGGCCCAAGGGAACATTCTACTAGTCATACTCTGCTTCTTGATCTGGAAGCAGGTTACCTGGACATGTTTACTTTGTGAAAATTCACCAAGTTGTACACATAAATATAATTTATGCAGTTTTATGTATTATGTTATACTCCAATAAAAAATTAGAAAAAAAAGCCAGAGTTAGGAATAAGCAAAAAGTGTGAGGAATAGAAAAGATACACAGTAAAGATTATATTCAGGGAAAGACACAAAGAAAAACAGACTGAGAAATCCTATTAACAGCAGAACACTTGTGTTTACAAATCCCTACTGCTGAGGTCCAAACGAACTGCTTTCAATACTGCTCTAGTTCCTAAGATGACCAATTCCTTCCTGCACTTGAGTTTTCCAATTCTCAAGCCCCCCCTTAATCAGCTGTTACAGTACCTCCATATTGTGAGATATACTGAGACTCCCTTGTCCTTACAACTGAAACAGACAGAAACAATTCTCTTAAATGAGAACCAAAGGATAGAGGTCATTTCCTCAACAGTCCCCCTAACAGGAAGACGAGATGCCTTTTCTCCATGGTTAGCAAGAGAGATCCTCTTTTGGTTTTCCAAAACAGGTCTCCATCCTATTTCCCAGATGGCTTCCTTGTCCAAAATGAAACCTCTCTGGGAAGGGCTGACAGTAACACTAATATTACTTGGTCCTGGCAACTTATAAAAGTTGAAGATAAAATGCATTACATCAAAACAGAGGAAAAAAATATCACAAAAAAATAACAACAAAAACAAAAAAAGGACCACATGCAGTGGCTCACAACTGTAATCCCAGCACTATGGGAGGCCAAGACAGGAGGCCAGGAGTTTAAGACCAGCCAAGGCAACATAGCAAGACCCCATCTCTACAAAAAATTTAAAAATTAGCCAGGCATGGTGGCATGTACCTGCAGTGCCAGCTGAGGAGGCTGAGATAGCAGGATCAATTGAGCTCTGGAGTTTGAGGTTGCAGTGATCTACGATCGTGCCACTGCACTCCAGTCTGGGCAACAGAGCACAACTCTGTCTCAAAAAAAAAAAAAATTTTTTTTAAAAAGCTTAGGACAATGGAATAATATTATTTTAGTATTAAGACTATTCCATTCACATAAGGAAATCTGCACATTGAAAGCCACAGTCTGTGACAGAGCCAAGTCTCACAATTGGCTGTGTTTAGAGTGAGAAAAGGCTATCATACCAGGAAGGGCCTCTCTGCATAGCGCCTGCAGGGAGAACAACCTCAGGATGCTGAATCTCTAGATCAGCATTTTGCAGACTGAGTTCTACAAAACACTAGTAGAACCCTAATGGGTATTCCACAAAAGAGGGTTCTATGAGTAAATAAATTCAGAAAATACAGGGTTATTAAAAAGAAACATGTTTGTAGAATTCCTCAGTTCCCTTCCCGAAACATACAGATGAGTCTCCAGAGGAAGGTGGGGTATGGGAGAGACGCCCATTGTACAACCAGAAATGCCTCCACACACCGGATAACAACCCCCGGGGCTGCTCTAGATTCCCAAATTGAAGATCTTTAAACTAAGCGATTAGAATCCCTCTTAATCAAGTATTCCCTGAATAAAAAATGAACTAATCTATTAATAGCTCCCAGCTAGGCAGGGTTTCAGAACTATTCTGCCAGTTTTATGGTTTTTCACATTTGCCTTCTAAGAGAAAATGGCTAACATAAGGCAGAGGTGAGCCCCACTGAGTCTTCAAGACAGAACACAGCAGCACCCTATCCCTTCTGACAAAAAAAACAAAAGCCATGACTTGCTTTACAACTACAGTTTAACTAAATCCCAGAGCCTCTCTAAAACTGGGAACCTTCCCATTAAGTCCTAAAAGCAGGCAAGATTCTTTGGTATAGCTCCAAGAAGAGAAACTTCTTCAAAAAAAAACTAACCAAAATGCAGGAGGCCCTGGCATTTACTGCTAATTTGTCTAGTTTGGAACCTTATAAAACAATTTTGACACATTTCTTGAGAAGCCTCCAATCTTGACACTTCGTGAGAAAATTCTATAGTCTATACATCCTTCTGCTCTCACACAGACCTTCATCCTGATTTACCTGACCCCCAATCTTACTAGTAAAGGCAAAGCTGCTGCTTGCTGAGACAACACCAAAATTTTCCCCCTCTCTTAAATGGATTACACTGAAAAGCCCAGAAATTTATCTACAAGAGGATCATAGTCTTTATCATGCAGAAGAGTTCACACAGCAGGCCTGAGGCGGCTCTCCTAAGAAAGGTCTGCTTACAAGGTTGGCCCTTGGTTGGCATCCGGAACTTGCATTTCAGGAGGGTTTTCCACCATTCCTTAAATGGTGAGAGTGGCTCACTGTCCCTAATCTGCTTGTGCAAACAATATGATTTATGATAAACACCTGCTTTCCTTCAGGGAGTCTGGGATTCTGGTAAATGCTAGGCAGAAGGTGCCTATGTGACCAGCTCCCAGTAAAAATCCAGGACACTAAGTCTCTAAGGAGCTTCCCTGGTACACAGCAGTTCACACACGTTACAATTTGTTGCTGGAGGAATTAAGAGCATTCTGTGAGAGTCTACTGAGAGAGCTCTCTTGCGCCTGGTTTCACCCAGACTTTGCTCCAGGTGCCTTTTCCCTCTGCTGACTCTGCTTTGTGTCCTTTCACTGTGGTAAATACAGCTGTGAATACGACCACATGCCGAGTCCTGTGGGTCCTCCTAGCAAATCATGGAACCAGGGGTGGTTTTGGTATCCTCCTCAACGTGTAACTATGCTATACTTCAGCCTCAATGAATTAAATATCCATTTAAATTTACTATGACTAAATCATTGTGGATTTCAATACAGACTTAATTAGCACTAGCTATATGCACCAGCACCATGCCATAGCCTATAGACACAAAGATCAGTAAGACATAATCCCTAGCCTTGAGGACGTATACCATGCCCCAATTTTAGGTCTTTTCCTCATAAAAGAGAGGGTGGGAAAGCAGCAAGGAAGAACAGGAACAATTGTATTTAGGTAATATCAAAGGTCAAATTACTGAGTACATAGTGTGTAATATTGAGTCCATGGTACTTCGGATTCTAATCTCCCAGGACCAACCTGGTACACCTTCAAGCAGATGTCTTTCCTCCTATTACAGAACTGGTCACATTTCATTTTGCACCTTCTCCTCATAAAGCCGTAAGTCCCTTAAAGGCAAGGTCTACAATCTGTTCTCTTTTGTGCCTTGTACATACTCAACAAATGAATTAAAGAGGAAATACTAGGTCACATGCCTCATAATCTAATATTCCCACACTCCCCTGGACACATAGTACAGGGGGAACTTAACTGACAAATGAATCTCAAAAATTATTACTATTGATTATTTGATAACCAACCATTCTTTATTTACCTCTATGTTTTTTTAAAAGTTGGGTATTTCCAGCCAGGCGCAGTGGCTCATGCCTGTAATTCTAGCACTTTGGGAGGCTAAGACAAGAGGATTTCTTGAGGCCAGGAGTTTGAGAACAGCCTGAGCAAGAATGAGACCCCCGTCTCTACAAAAAATAGAAAAATTAGCCAGGCATGGTGGCATGTGCCTGTAGTCCCAGCTACTCAGGAGCCTGAGGCAGGAGGATCATTTGAGCACAGGAGTTAGAGGTAGCAGGGAGCTATCATGACACCCACTACATTCTAGCCCTGGTGACAGAGTGAGACCCTGTCTCACACACAAAAAAAAAGAAAAGAAAAGAAAGAAAAAGTTGGGTATTTCCACTCATATTAAGAGTGATCACTTGTCCCTTAGGTTTCTTCTTTTCCCAGGTCAGGCCATTTATATAAATGCAACATTGAGATTAAAAGGATAAGAAGAATAAAATGGCTGAAAGGATGCACCATTTTAGATTACCTTCTAAAAATTTCATAGCCCTCCAAACTGTCCTTTAGAGTATGTTTTTCCTAATTACATGCCAAGAAATTATAGATAAGGTGAACCGAGCCTTAACCAAAATCAGGTCCCAGGAAACATAAAAAACAAACAAAACCAAGCTAAATGATCATAGTTGACAGTGTTGTAAGCTTACCATAGGCCAGGCACCATTTCATCACAGGTCAATTATCAACATGACTTACCTCTGTTGATGCTGACCTTGATCACCTGGCTGAAGGAGGTAGTGTTTGTCAAGTTTCTCTATTGTAGTTATTCTTTCTTCCCTCCTTTCCATGCTCTGGAAGGAAGTCACTATGCACAGCCCACATTTAAGGAGTGGGGAGTATTGCTCCCCTCCTTGAGGACAGAGCTTCTAATAAATGATTTAGAATTCTTCTACAAAGGTTTTTCTATTCTCCCCATTTATTAACTCCTTCAATCATTTATATTACTATGGACTCATGGATATTTTATACTTTGGAATAATCCAATACAACTTTTATTTTGCTGAAATTGTTCCAGCTTTGGCCATTAAGAGATTTTTTAGTTAACTCCTGTGTCTCTTTGACATATCCCCATCAATGTGGGATTTGTTTGTTTTGGGGCGCTTCCCTAATTTTTGGCACTATAAGATCTTGTGTGTTTCCTGCCTCAGTACTAGGGTTGGCAATTTCTCCAAGGAGCCCTGGTTCCTTTTATTGAAAAATGGAATTAGATACCAAGATCTTGGTGCTAGGTGTCAGACACCATTTTTCACTTAACCATCTCAACAATCCCATGCAAAAGGGACCCCATTATCCCTCTCTTAAAAATGGGGAGCTAAGAAACAGGTTAAGTAGCCTGCCCAATATCACATCAGTAAGTGGTAGAGCAGGGCTTTAAACACAGAAGTCTGTCTTCAGAATACATTTCCTGACTACATTGCCACCACTGTCTCCCATGAGCAGAATACCACCAAAGGGACATAAATGAAGGAAGTCACACCAATGTACTTATAAGTACACTGACCTCGGTCATAGATCCTTTCCAAAATAACTGGCTCAGTTGACAAGGCCCATGAGAAATGCAGAATTTGAGAACCCTGTTCCAGATGATATAAGGGACACATTCTTTGGTATAAGGAACAGTGAAAGTGCA